ATGCACTTTAAAACTTAAATTTTAATTTTGATAACATTTATTTACTAAAAAATTCAACACTTGTTTTGTTTTTCATTTCAATCTGGTCAAATCCGTGTGCAATTCGATTTCCACGTGCCAAAAAATTGGTAAACTTTCAATTTGGTCCCTCAATTATTAAGTAAATTATTGAGTTGGTCCTTAAATTAAAACAATTCTTAATTTAGTTTTAAAAATTTTTAAATTTGATTCTAAATTAGCCTTTCTATTAAAACATAACTAATGTATCCATCACTTAAAGAAAGAAGGTCATTATTTGACATAAATATATTATATTAATAATGAGACATGTTAATTATTTTTGAATAAATAATTAGCTTGAATTAAATTTAAAAAATTAAAAAATTAAATTAAAAAATTTTTAATTCAGTAATTGAGGGATTAAATTAAGGATTTAACCAAAAGATTAATTCCATAAAGACAGCCAGATTCTAAGACCAAATATTTACTTATTTGCCACGTACCAGTTTCTTGCCGCTGACCAGGTCGTCAAATCTCCACCTAAATTTTCTAACATGGATTGGATTGCTTGGAAACCACTCAACACGGTAACCAGAAGCGGAAATTTTCAAAAGAAGACCAAATATTTACTTGGTAATGTTATTGGAATAATTTTTTTATTTTATTTTTTTATAACTTTTATATATGATTAAATAAGTAAATATATTTAATATTATAAATTTTATATACATTAAAAAAATTAATTATTTTAATAACACGTCAAATTATATAAAAATAATAATAAAATGATTATCGCAATACCAATCTTCATATTTATTGATATTGCCAAAAGTAGTAATAACATCTGATCATCGATGGTTGCAATTTTAGAGCTGAATAAGGGTTGACAAAAACCTGTTTATCACAAAACCACCTCAAGATTAATCACATGTGCATGTGTAAAGATAGAAATGCCATCCAATAGCCATCAATATGATCCGAAGGTCAAAAGGAATTTTCTGTACTGTAGGATCAAAGAAAAAACAATGCATAAGTTAGTTGATTTAAGTACACAGCAAATAATGTATATTTACATTATTATGGTGTAGGATCAATTCTCCTTAAGCCTTGTCAAAAGAAATGCTCCTAACCTACAGACAGAAATTCTATTCATTTTGCTTACAGCTAAGAAAAATACAGTATACAAACAAACCCAACAGTAAGCACTGAAAGCCTGAAACCCAAACAACTAGCAAATTATTCAGATTGTGCATACCAGAGAGCTGCATTGGAGATTCCATGGGTTTTTCACGCCTTGAAAGTCTTTTTCTCCATTACATCTAATTACATGCATATATAGGTTCTCAAAGCTTTTTGTTTGACACCCAGACTATCTGATAGAGAAGTTTTAGTGCTGTGCAAGAATGAACTGATGGGCTGGAAGAGTCTAAACTGTTACATGATCAGGTAGCTAATTGGTGATTGTCAGTAGAATCCAAACCTTACCAAGAAGTGAAGTGCTTCAACTGGAACTAGGCAACTAGCATTGCTGATGGTTCCTACAATGAGCCAGATTCTTAGACCTGCAACAGAACCAGGAATAAGAATCCTAAGACAAATATCCTGCCTTCGCTTTTGTTTCCATTTCTCCTAAAAATGGCGCATATTTTTCTTGATACAGAGTATGTACTATCAATGTAATCCATCCACGTTATTGTTGCCCAATTCAAGAAACTTCAGCAGATAGTATGTTTAAGAATGTCATAACCTCCGCCCTTTCGATTTACAAGTAAAACTAAAAGCAGACTAGCAGAAACTAGTGCTATATACCAGGGATTAGTATATTATGCAAAGTTTGAAACAAGAGCAACTCAAATAATGCTATTCATCAACTAATAAAATTACATTCTCTAAAGAAGAAAGCTCAAATGAGAAAAGAGCCAACACTTTGAAGAAAAATCCACCTCAAGAAGAGCTCTATATTTTCTGTCCATTTTGGCACTCGTATGAAGAGATTATGTGTGGAATGGGCTTGCTGTCACGTACACTGCAACTCTTTGCAATCCCTCTGCAAATTTCAGATGTCTCCTTCAAATTAACTTAGTTCAATCTATGGACCATGGTGCATTCACGTAGCATTTATTTCTCAAAACAAAACGTTAAATTTCTTCTTCTTTTTTTCTTTGGTACAAACAATTAATTAACTAAACAATTTGATTGAGTTAATAAAAGTACTTGCCTTGTTCAAAATGGCAGATTCTGAGAAGTGAGAACAAAAGATGATCTCAGAACACTAATTAATAACATTTCTCCAATGCATCAACCTCTGCATTAGATTAGGTGAGTGACATTTAGTTGATGTCTTTGTCATGCGAAATCAACAGTCATGTTAGAAAAACTGAGATGGTATAACATCAAAATATCAAAAATAACAAAAGATGAAATAAATTTAAAAACTATGCACACTTAATGAATTGATATTCACAGTACCTCACATTCTTGTAGTTTTCATAGCAACTGCATAATTGGGAACAAAAAGAAATCAAAAGAATATCTAATAACAAGAAAGGAAATTCCCAGTCAAGTTTCTTAGCTCCATCCTATATTCATCATCTGATATATGGAGTGCAGATCGTAAATTTGTCATCTTCAGTTCTTCTTCCCAACTAAAAGACCCAGAAGCATATAATGCCTGAAGAGCTTGACGATAGGCATGTAGCTCTGACTCATGGATGTCTGTTCTCAGTCTCCCACATCCGGAAAGGGCAGATGCTACTCTTCCATACCCACTACCACAAAGTGATTTAGTTTTGGCTGTAGCATAACTAGAATTATCCCCCAAGTTCTCAATGCTGCTTTCTCTAAAGCAGATGGGAAACCTTGTAGCAGAAGATACGGAACCAAACCTATTAGCAGAGGATGCAGAGCTATCAATATGAAGTGTACGACTCTCTTTAGGCACATCCATTCTATGGGCCACAACCTTACTCAGTACCTTTTTAGGGGAAACGAAGGAATCTACCTTTCCAGACAATGGAAATGGATGTAGCGGAACTGGTATTTGACGGCCACCATCTTTTCCCATCACTCTTATCTTCTTAGCAGCAAGAGCATCGGCCTCAAAGTCAGATTTTCTCTTCTGTTTTCCAATCACGAACCATCTGCCATCTTCCCAACACTGTCGAGCCCTAAGATGGGACCTAGGAAAACTGGACTCAGCGGACGACCCAGCCCGCTTAACAGAAAAGCAGTTCACACCTAAAACCTTCACGATCACCGCCTTTTTCCAATAAGGATCGTCGAACACCTCAACGAGATCACCAGACACCCAGTCCCTCGCCCTTTCCACTGGAGGCGGACAGGGTCTAATAGCCTTCCTGGGAACCTTGTGCACCACCCCCTTGCTCGTCGTCGGTAGCCACCCGTACTTGACGCTGTAAGTGTGACCGTCGCCGGAGATGATCTCACCACAAAGCCAAGAGCCTGTCACGCTCCCAGCCACCCTGCGCAGCACCTCCACTTTACTACCCTTGCTGAATTTCGTCATCACAAGCTGATGAAAAGTAACGAAAATTTTCTGTTCCAGATTCTACAATTGGAGGCTCTATATATACATGCATATGATTCCATGTTCGTTCGGAAGAAGGAAATCAGAATTCAAGCAGTACTAGGAAATTAAGGGACATCGCACGGCTGTAAAAACTAAAATTAATAGATAAATAAAATTGATATATAGACCCTCAATGAATCCGTCTGTTTCAATCAAACCCCTCTAAATTTTCATCACTTATGCCCCTCTACTAGCCTAACTTGATGCTGACATGCAGACCAGTTTCCTGATAATTAGCAACACATCTTTCTTCTATTTTTTCTAGTTTTTGAAGACATTTTACCACGTAGATGTGAACAGCTAGTGGCAATCTATTATAATTCATCAATCATATTATTACATACACAAAACCAGTGACAAGTTATTAGGATTTATCAGGCAAAACAAACTGATAGGCATGTAAATTTAAATTTCATTTTTTCTCTCCTGCATAAGATTCTGTATCCCTATGGAAAATGAAAGGTTTGAATTTGAAGAACTTGCAACAACAGCAAGCTACTAACTAGAACTAACCGTGGAACACATGATGGGTATTTAATTTGAACAATCTCATGAGGGAGAAAGAGAGAGAGTTCCAGACAAACCAAAAATTTCCAGATATTAGTGAATCTAATTCTAGCATTCTAGACAACAAACATTTTCCAAATACTAGGAAGTGACTCATCTTTCTTACATCTAAGTACATTGTACTCGGTGTTTACATGCTTAGAACATTCTTTCTGTAAGTATAAAGCAAGTTTTGGTATTACCCACACTTGCTAACCAAACAGAATTTTAGAAAGGGTTTGTTTTGGGGTAATAAAATTGAGTATAAGAAAAATAAAACCATACCGTCTTGAAGGCTTAATATTTCCTTTAGTGACAAAAATCTGCAGATGCTGCTTGATGGTTTATGGCAGGAGGTGGCAAACCTATCTCCATCCAGCAAGCACTGAAAGTCTGAAACCCAAACAACTAGCACGATAATCAAGACTCTGCATCCCAGTGGGATGCATTGGAAATCCCGTGAGTTTATCTTTCCTTCAAATAGTCTTTTTCTCCATTATATTTGATTATCTGCATAGGGTCTCATGGCTTTGAGTTTGGTCCCCAGACTATTGGTTAGAGAGGTTCCAGTGCTGTGCAAGAATGAGCTGATGGGCTAAGGAGTCTAAACCGTTACATGATCAGGCAGCAAATTGTTGGTTGTCTGTAGAAGCCAAACCCTACCAAGAAGAAGTGAAGTACTTCAACTGAAACTAGGCAACTAGCATTGCCGATGGTTGCTACAATGAGCCACATGCTTAAACCTGCAAAGGAACCAGGAATAAGAATCTTAAAACAAGTATCCTGCCTTCGCTTTTGTTTCTATTTCTCCTAAAAATAGTGCATATTGTTCTTGATACAGAGTATGTAGTATCGATATAATCTGTCCATGTTATTGTTGGCTAGTTCAAGAAACTTCAACAGAGAGTGTGTAAGAATGCCATAACTTCTTGCCTTTAGGTTTACAAGTAAAACTAAAAGCAGACAAGTAGAAACTGGTGCTAGATACCTTTGTATATTTTGAAAGTTTGAAACAAGAAAGGCTCAAATAATGCTATTCATCAACTAATAAAATTAAATTCTCTAAAGAAGAAAGCTCAAATGAGAAAAGGGCCAACACTTTGAGGAAAAATCTACCTCAAGAAGAGCCCTATACTTTCTGCCGATTTTGGCACTCGTATGAACAGATTGTGTGTGGAATGGGCTTGCTGTCATGCACTCTGCAACTCTTTTTGCAATCCCTCTGCAAATGTCAGATGTCTCCTTCAAATTACTAAGTTATCAATCTATAGACAATGGTGCATCCATCTACCATTTATTTCTCAAAACAAAACATAAAATTCCCTCTCTCTCTTTTTTTTTTTTAGTTTGTTAATTAATTAATTAAATTAACTAGATAATTTGATTGAGCTAATAAAAGTACTTGCCTTGTGCAACATAAACAGTTTGACTTTATTTTTTAATATATAAAAAGGGTCTCCCTTGCGAGATTCTGAGAAGTGGGAACAAAAGATAATCACAAAACCCCTTTCAAAACACTAATTATTAACATTTCTCGAATGCATCAAGCACTGCATTAGATTAGGTGAGTGACTTCAATCTTACCTTATTAGTTCATGTCTTTGTCATGTGAAATCAACACAGTTATGTTAGGATGTAAACTCAAGAGATACTGATAGACAGGAACTCTGAGGGCAAATCACAATCCAATGTCCCAATGGTGAACAAAGACTTTGTTGTTGCAATAAGGTGAAGCAACCTAGGAAACACAATTAGCAATGGAAAGTATGCATGTATATATTTAGTTTGAACAACGTTAATAGAATGCATAATTTTGTTGAGAGAAAGCCAAGTTCCCTGAATCAACTTTTCTACTTAGTACAGAGTGAGTTTTCTTGTAAATACAGAAGCATTTAATACAACAACCCTGTTCATTCATAAAATGTAAACCTCATACCTTAATTTAGATATTTCCCACAGCACAAGGACTAGTTCAGACTTTAGAGATTGATTGAGCAACAATTTAATGATTCAAATTAGATGTCACATAAGTGAATATCAACAGTCCAAAAATTGGAACTTTTTCCAGATATTATAATGAAAATATTATTATTTGCGCCTATCAAAATTTTCCAAATACTACAACACAAGTAATCTGTTTGGCCAATTCAGTATTTATACAGGTTAGATCTATAAAGCACAGTTTGGGATAATCCAAAGCGTGCTCACATGACAGTTTATTTAGGCTTCATTTGGAGCAATCAAAAGTTCAAAAGAAGAGAAATGAAACCATACCACTTGGTAAGTCTAAAGAGTTCCTTTAGTGAGAAATTTTGGAGATGTTTCCAATGGTCCATGGAAGAGGTGACAAAATTATCCCCATTCTCATCTTCAAACCATAGAAGCAAGGTATGCATGCCTCTAAGATTGGCACCAGAATATTCTGAGCAAGCATAAATACATTACTTCGCATGAATCTATTTCATGTATTACAAAAACTGAAACGATACAACATCAGATTATCAAAAATAACAGGAGAAAAAATTAACAAGAGATGAAATAAATTTAAAAATTATGCACTCCTGAATTGATATTCACAGTACCTCACATTCTTGTAGTTTTCGGAAAACAGCTGCATATTTGGAAAACAAAAAGAAATCAAAAGAATATCTAATAACAACTAATAACAAGAAAGGAAATTCCTACTCAACTTTCTTAGCTCCATCCTGTGTTCATCATCTGATATATGGAGTGAAGATCGTAGGTTTGTCATCCTTAATTCTTCTTCCCAACTAAAAGACCCAGAAGCATATAATGCCTGAAGAACTTGACGATAGGCATGTAGCTCTGACTTATGGATGTCTGTTCTCAATCTCCCACTTGCAGAAAGGGCAGATGCTACTCTTCCAAACCCACCACCACAAAGTGATTTAGTTTTGGCTTTAGCATCACTAAAATTATCCCCCAAGTTCTCAATGATATTTTCTCCAAAGCAGATGGGAAACCTAGTAGCTGAAGATACAGAACCAAAGCTATTAGCAAAAGATGCAGAACTATCAATATGAAGTGTACGACTCTCTTTAGGCACATCCATTCTATGGGGCACAATTTTACTCAGTACCTTTTTAGGGGAAACGAAGGTATCTACCTTTCCAGACAATGGAGATGGATGCAGTGGCATTGATATTTGACGGCTACCATCTTTTCCCATCACTCCAATCTTCTTAGCAGCAAGAGCATCGGCCTCAAAGTCAGATCTTCTCTTCTGTTTTCCAATCACGAACCATCTGCCATCTTCCCACCACCGTCGAGCCCTAAGATGGGACCTAGGGAAACTGGACTCAGCGGACGACCCAACCTGCCTAACAGAAAAGCAGTTCACACCTAAAACCTTCACGATCACCGCCTTTTTCCAATATGGATCATCGAACACCTCAACAAGATCACCAGAGACCCAGTCCCCCGCCCTTTCCACTGGAGGCGGACAGGGTCTAATAGCCTTCCTGGGAACCTCGTGCACCACACCCTTGCTCGTCGTCGGTAGCCACCCGTACTTGACGCTGTAAGTCTGACCATCGCCAGAGATGATCTCGCCACAAAGCCAAGAGCCGGTCACGCTCCCAGCCACCCTGCGCAGAACCTCCACTTTACTTCCCTTGCTGAATTTCGTCATCGCAAAACGAAATTTTCTGGACCAGATTCTACAATTGGAAGCTGTATATATACATACGTATGATTCCATATTCGTTTGGGAGAAGGAACTGAGACGTCAGAATCCAAGTAGTACTAGGAAATTAAGGTATATCGCATGGCTGTTAAAAAAGTAATAATAAAATTGATGTATAGACCCTCAATTAATCCGTTTGTTTCAATGAAACCCCTCTACTAACTTTCATAGCATAAGCCCCTCTACCGGCCTAACTTGATGCTGATCTATACAGATCGGTTTTTCAAGGTTTTAAGGACATTTTACCTCTGTATATGTGCGCAGCCAGTGGCAATCTATTAGAATTCATCAATCATTATTACATATCCAAAACCAGTGACAAAATATTAGTATTCATTAGGTGAAACTAGCTGATAAGCATGAAATGTTTTCCTTCTTCTTCTTTTTTTTTTCTCTTCTGCATGACATTCTGTACCCCAATGGAAAATGAGAGGTTTGAATTTGAAGTACTTGCAACAGCAAGCTACTAACTAGAGTTAACTGTGGAAAGCAGAATGGATATTAAATTTGAACGTTCTCATGAGAAAGAGAGAAAGTTTTACCAGAAATTAGTGAATCTAATTCTAGCCAACAAAAATTTTCCAGAAACTACAAAGTAACTCATCATTCTTACATGTAAGTACATTATACTTTGTATTTACATGCTTAGAAATTAGAACATTCTTTCTGAAGTATAAAGCACGTTATGGAATTACCCACACTTGCTAACAGAACAGAATTTTAGAAAGGGGTTGTTTAGGAGTAACATAATTCAGTATAAGAAAAATAAAACCATACCATCTGTTTTTTGGCCAGAAAAACCATACCATCTTGAATGCTCAATATTTCCTTCGAGTGACAAAAATCTGTAGATGCTGCTTGTTGGTTTATGGCAGGAGGTGGCTAACTCATCTCCATCCCCACCTTCATACCTTTAAAAGAAAGGTATGCATGCCTCCAGCATCGGCAACGGGATGTTCTGAGAAAGCATCAACATAATCCTCAACAAGATTTTATTTCAAACTTGAATGGCATAACACCAGTAGAATTACAAAGATGTATAATAGCAAAATGAAAATCTATAAAATCAGCATTAATGATAGAAACTGAAAATGGGATTTGTAGATTTCAAATTCGGTGATGCTTAAGAGATAAAATACAAAATTTACAAGCCTCACAGAAACTTTTGAAATTGATATCATGAAACCTGACCATGCATTTTGCCAATTTTTGACAGTAGAACTAGATGATGTTGCTCATTAATAATTTCCACAGTTAACAGTTGTGGTTCACAATGCTGAAATTAAAAATGAACTATTGCACATTGATCCAATAACACGTTGTGCAAATAGACAGAAAAAGAATATTTTGTACACTTCCATTGACTTTTACAGTATTTGGCATTCCTTTTGCTTACAAAACTTCACATGGGGGGACAAAACGAAATTATGAAACTAAAAGAAAATCTAATAACAGCAAAGGGAGGGTCCAGTTTGATTGTATTTCAAATTTTTTAACTCTGTCAAATGCTCATCAGTTGATATGTGGAGTCTACTACGTAGATTTGTCATCTTTATTTCATCTTCCCAACTCAGAGGTCCAGAAGCATACAATGCCTGAATAGCACGGCGATAGGCATGTAGCTCTGACCTATGGATATCTGTTCTCAGTTCCACATTTGTGGAAAGAGAACAAGCTCCTTCTCCATACCTATCTCCACAACCTGATTCAGCATCACTAGAATAATCATCTACGTTCTTCTCAGTATGGTATGTTCTAAAACCAAAAGGCAACCTATCAATATCATACCCCTCACTGCTACAACTACCAACAGAAGATGCACAACTATGAATATCAATATCTATTCTATTATTTTCACTAGACACATCCATTCCGGTCCACATAGTAGTTCTATCATGAAAAGAAGCATGCATATCTTTCTCACCCAGCAATTTTTGCTGGGTAACAAGTGCATCTACCTTTTCAGAGAAGGGAGATGGATGCAGTAGAAGTGATCGTGCACCAGTACTATCTTTGACAATCAATCTAATCTTCTTTGCCACGGCATGGTATTCAGTTTCAGCATCTGACAAGCAAGGGGAAGATCTTCTCTTCAGCGCACCTTCCGAAATCATGGGAGACTTTCGAGTTCCATCAGCACCGACATAAGGCTCCATCGCAGCCTCAATCTGCCTCGTCACCTTCGACACAGTAGAATTTCCAGAACCCTGTAGCACAATTACAGAAGAGAAACAATAAAGAATCAGCCATCTAGACTTCTAAGCATTCATGATCAATGAAGGAAAACAGAGAAATCCCAAGATTAATAAATCCCAAGATTAATAAATCCCAATAAAATAGTAAAATTCAAAGGAAATTCATGCTAAATACAAAAGTAGAATCGACTGCGGAATGATATTTACCTTTCCAATCAGGAACCATCTACCGTCTTTCCAACACTGACGAGACCTCAGATGAGATTTAGGGACTCTGAATTCGGTTTTGGATCCCACAAGCCTAACAGAAAATCCATTCCCACCTAAAACCTCCACGACCACCGCAGTCTTCCAAGCAGGATTGACGAACACCTCAACAAGATCGCCAGGGACCCAATCTGCAGCTCCTTCAAGAGGCGGTGGACAGGGCCTAATAGCCTTGCGAGGCACCCTCTCCATCGCCGGAGACCAACCGTACTTCACGCTGTAAGTGTGGCCGTTCCCGGAGATGATCTCGGCACAAAACCAAGAAGCCGTCGCGGCTTCCGCGGTGCTCAGCACCTCCACTTTACTTCCTTTCCTGAATCTCATGGTTGCAGTTTCTATGGATTCAAGAGCAAGAATACCTAAACAAAGGCATATATTCTTGGAGTGTGGTTTTAAATTCGACTAAGAAAAGGATTATGATCCGACACTTGCTTTATGATAAATCAAACGGCTCCGAAGAGAGGCTTGCTCGATGAGGAGAGGATTTTATTTTTTATTTTTTATTTTTTATTTTTTGGGGTTCTTGCTTGCACGTACCTTACCATATTAGCAATTAAATGGGAAAAGGTCTAATATTCGTCTCTTTTTCTATTTAATGGATTTGTTTTATAATTTTTTTTTTTTTGCTTTTGTTGTCAAGAAAGTTAATCATTTTTTTATTTTATATTATTTCACTCGCATGTCATATGATTTAAATATAAAAATTTTTATTTTAATAAAAAAATAACTACTAATAATCATATGACTTAAATATAAAAATTTTTATTTTTAATAAAAAAAATAACTACTAAATTATTAGATCATTTATAAATTTATTTTATAATTTAATATAATTTAAATTATAAAATAATAAATTTACGCGAAGAATATATTTTTTAAATGAATTATATTTAAAGATATCAGTTTAGGAAATAAAAATAAAAGTATTAATTTACCACTACATGTACATAAAAAAAAAAAAGTAAAAATATTTTTTTGTTTTTAACTTACATGTTGAAATTTGTTTTTATTTCTCATGGAAAAATCATTTTTGTTTGATGATTCGGTAACTAACGGATTTTTCTGTATTATCGATAGAATTTGATTACTATGAAAATATTGGCAAGGTTTACCAAGCTCTATATGTGCGTGTGTGTTTTTTTTTTTTAATTTATAATTATTATGTGATATAAAATAAATGAAATGTATTATTAAATAAATATCTATATAATATTATATGTAAATATTTGATTAAAAATAACCAATTATTTACTGATATAGTCTCTCTCACAAAAGGGCTTTGATGTTGGAATTAGTTTATTAGTAATATATAACAAATGGGAAATCATTGTGGCCTCCTGCATGGGTGGTGCTTAATTCAAAAAGTAATGGTCATTATTGATATTCTGGATTTCACTGCCTAAATGGTTAGAGGAGATCTTCGGGTGCCTATGTTACCTGTGCGTGGGAAAAGGGAAAAATTGGTTAGGGTGAGCGGCAGATGTGTTTCTGGCATGTGCCCTCCAATGCTTAAGTCAAGTAAAGGCTCATTGAAGATGAAGCATATGAAGAAGAAAGCTATGGGAGAGAATGGGCTCAAAAGAAATTACATTTTTAGGGTGAGGAAACCTTTTTATAATTCATTTCTTAATTTATCATGTAATGAGTACATTTATTAAATTTTATACGTCATAAGTTTTTTATTTGTAAAAATAGTATAAGTAGCATATGTAACATCCCATGTACATAGGACACATGTGCATAAAACAAAAGACAGACAGATAATATTTTTCAACTTTCTGTAAGTGACATGATCTAATTGTTTATACATGTATTTCTTGATGCATCGTCGGCACTCTATTCCTAGAAACTTATCCTTTTGCTCTATCTTGTTGACTAAGTTAGGGTAATGACTTTAGGTGGAATAACTTATTAATTACACAAATTTTAATTGAGATAACTTAATAATTAAAAATTAAAAATTTAAAAATCTTTTAGCTATGCAACTTTACCAAACCTTCCAAGGAAGCCTTCTTAAGGTCTGACTAGGTCAATAGAATTTATCTAATTTAGTTATTTTAAAAGGGATATGAACTATTTAGAACTTACCACATGTATAGTGAGTATTTAGTTAGATCAACTATTTTAAGATAGATTGTTTTATAATAAAAAATAGTTAACAATTATAAATAGTAATTGATAAAATAATTAATATTTATTATTTAATAAATTAAAATCAACTTATAAATTGATATTTCTAAACACTATAATTTAATGTAAAATTATAAACTAATAAAATTAATCCAAACAAATACAATTATTATGTTATTTGCGTGATCCTAACAAAATACTATATAATAACTGTGTTTATTCTAAGAAGACAATAAACTTGTAATTAAAGCATGCTCAATTGTGCTCAATTGTGTTTAATATTAGCTTGGCTAATCTTGTTAGTGTTCTTCAAGGAGAAACAAGGATCCTCTACTAGGTTACTTTAACTTGGTCACGAAGGGTCTTTTTTTGAGGAAGGTCACGATCACGAAGGGTCTTAAATGGCCTCTTCTCAGAAGTTGACATTTGAAATTTCCTCCACTGAGGTACCAACTTTTTCTTTTCTTTTCTTTTCTTTTTGGGGGTGGGGAGAATGTAAAAAAAAAAAAAAAGGTTTACAATTCAAATGAGGATAGCCTTAACGCGAAAAAAGGGAAAAAGGTTCAGCCGTTAACGTTTGGCAACTTCAAAGGCCACAACGTGGCGCCATGTTAATCGCACAAAATTCCCTCTTCAAATTACCGCTAACATATACCTGATGTACACGGCGCATGTTAGGCTCCCTCGTTGCGCACTCCAACATCCCCTTACATGCTTATCGTACGCCCCAGTGCACGTTAGCTATAACTACCCGCTTTTCATCTCTCTTAATTAACGCGCCAAACCACACGGATCTCCGCCACTTCAAAATCTCTTACGTACTGTGGTTTTCCGTTCTGAGTCAGAAAATGGCGGCGGGTTCGGGTTCTCTGATGTGGTTCCGAAAGGGCCTCCGGATCCACGACAACCCTGCTCTCGAATATGCCTCTAAAGGTTCCAGCTTTATGTATCCCGTTTTCGTGATCGACCCGCACTACATGGAGCCCGACCCCAGTGCATTCTCCCCCGGGTCGACCCGGGCCGGCATCAACCGGATACGTTTCTTGCTGGAGAGCCTCGTTGATCTTGATTTGAACTTGAAGAAACTCGGGTCGAGATTGTTGGTGCTGAAGGGGGAGCCTAGCCAGGTTTTGACCCACTGCTTAAAGGAGGTAACTTTCACTCTCTCCGCCGCAACCCAGTAGTGAAACTTCCTTTTCTGCTTCCAATTCAGTTTCTTTTTCTTGTTAATTTTAATGGGTTTCATTCTTGTAGTGGAATGTGAAAAAACTTTGCTTTGAGTATGATACTGAACCGTACTATCAAGCTTTGGACAGAAGTGTTAAGGTAAGAATTTATACTGGCTTAACAATTCAGCTGCCCGTTCTTGTGATGCTAACAAGAATATTATCTTTGGTTTATGCAGGATTATGCTTCTTCAGCTGGGATTGAGGTTTTCTCTCCTGTGAGTCATACTCTCTTCAATCCTGCAGATATTATAGAGAAGGTGGGTGAGGAATTTGTGTTTTTAGCAGATGAACTTAAAGTTGTATTGGCACCTTTCTATGTTATTTTTTCTATACTAATTCATGGTTACTTCGTCTAAATGCAAAAGAATGGGGGAAGTCCACCACGCAGTTATCAATCTTTTCTGAAGCTGGCTGGGGAACCCTCATGGGTATCATCTCCGCTTTCGATTAGAGTTTCTTCTCTTCCTCCCGTTGGGGATGTAGGAAGCTGCGAGGTTTCACAAGTTCCAACCATGGAAGAACTTGGCTACGTAGACAATGATCAGGTTTGGGATCTATTTTAATGCCTTCTGTGTTATACCCTTTTTCTTATTAATTCATTCTGTATGAGCATTATATCTGCAGGATGAATTGACTCCTTTTAGAGGTGGTGAATCAGAAGCATTGAAGAGGATGACAGAGTCCCTAAGTAATAAGGTAGGATGTAACTTTTACTGAAGTCTAAGTTCATAATTGAATTAATTGCAGTATCAAAATACACAAGGTATCTGATAGTCTTTTTCTCTTTTATTTGTTATCTATGTTCAAATTTGGTTCATCTATGTTGCCTCTACTTGCAACAATTCAAGTACGTTATTGATTCTTGAAATGGTCTTAGGACTTTGTTGTTAAACCTTATGTTTTTCTGAAAAATGTTAATGTACTTGTTTCCTTATTGACTATGCTTGTCAGTTAAAAGGGTTAAAAATGAGGACAATGTAAATTGTCATTCATGCAGTTCATGCTTCTTTCACTTATGTTATATGTGTTACTGGTTTTTTCTTTTTTCTTTTTTTCTTTTTTTTTTTCCATTTGGTTGTTTCGGTTGTTTGCACTTGTGTTGATATGACAAATTTCTTTGTACTGTAGGATTGGGTGGCAAACTTTGAAAAGCCTAAGGGTGACCCTTCTGCTTATTTGAAGCCAGCAACTACTGTTCTGTCACCATACTTGAAAGTAAGTTGGTTTTTAACATTCCTTTGCTTGTTGTGTAGATATAGACAAATTTACACAAAACTCATTTGCGGTGTTAGAAGTAGTGTATACAGATAAAAGAAGCCATAGTGCCCTCTTTTTATTTTTTTTTCCCTTGCTTCTTTTATATTATGATTTTATCTTTTTGGCAGTTTGGCTGTCTTTCTTCCAGGTACTTCTACCAGTGCCTTAAAGGGGTTTACAAAAATGTTAAAAGGCACACTCTGCCACCAGTATCCCTTGGTGGACAGGTCAGTCTGCTGCTTATTTATATTTAAGTGATTCTATGACAATATTTCGCATTAATTGTGGTTTACTCTACCTGTCTTACTCATTTATAGTACTAACAGCTAGCTTTAATCTTTGTAGTTGCTCTGGCGAGATTTTTTCTATACGGTTGCCTTCGGAACTCCTAATTTTGCCCAAATGAAGGGAAATGGTATATGCAAGCAGGTTTGTAGATCTGATAACAATACTTTAACCTGTTTATCAGTTTTTTCACCCTTTCACCATTATTCCTTGTGCAAAGAATCTAAAGCCAAAATGTAAACAAGATGAATAGAAACTGCTCAATGGTACATCATTGTAAATGTCAATTTTAAACCCTTTCCATACCGCATTTTTTCTGCCAAAAAAAAAAAAAAAAAACCTTTTCATACAAGTTTTTATGGGAACAATGAAGAAGGTAAATCATAAGTATCTGTCAAGTTTGCTATAGTGAAATTGGTGAGTTTTCTAAAATAGTGGTGAAATACTAAATCTCTGGAACCAAGTCTTCTTTGGTTATACCCAGTGGCATGCTAAGTTCTTGAGCATCTTAATTTAAGGGACCTATTGGGCATATTTTATTCTTTCATATTGCTTTCCATTACATATATGGCAAGAAAACCCAAAATTTCAGTGAGTGGATTTTGACATTTGTCACATTTCATTTAATCTTATTATCATGTTTCCCATATGAATTTGGTCTCCACATATCACATATGATTACTGCTAATGGCTATGGAGAAGTTATCTATTGTGGTTCTTCAACAAACAGGTAACATCTTTATTGGATTTAATATTTACTGGCGACCCTTGATATTTTGCTTTTTGGAGATGTAGATTCCTTGGAATGATGATGAACAACTCCTGGCTGCTTGGAGAGATGCTAAAACGGGGTACCCTTGGATTGATGCAATCATGGTCCAGGTTAGATGTGTGGCATGTCTTGTTGACTTCTACCTGATTCATTGCAGATTTAGAAATCATGTTGTATTTTTTATGCTAAATTCGTCTGCCCTTGTAGCTCCGTAAGTGGGGATGGATGCATCACCTAGCACGGCATTGTGTTGCATGTTTCCTAACTCGTGGAGATCTGGTATATGATTTCATGTACTTCGTCACTTGTTCTTTCTTAATGATATCCTTTTTCTTGACTTGGATGATCTTTCTTGTTAGTTTGTACATTGGGAAAAAGGGCGTGATGTCTTTGAGAGACTCTTGATTGATTCAGATTGGGCAATTAATAATGGGAATTGGCTGTGGCTATCATGTTCATCATTCTTCTACCAGGTTTGAAACATTTGTATTTTTTTATCATTGAAAAGTTGTATAATATGGTCTATTAGTGTTGGGTTGTGTAAAGCACTTGTTGGGAAGTGTAGAGCACCTTAACATAGTTTCTCAAACACCCTTACTAGATGAGTGATTTGGTTTTAACAGTGAAAGTTTGCTATAAAAGGAATCCCTATGATAGTAGGAAATGCTGAACATCTCTATAATTGCATGATTTTGGTTCTCAAGTTGCTGAAAATTCTATAGCCATTGTATAGATGTCCATTCAACCAAATTACATTGTACAATCAGGCAGTTCAGAGTTTGGAAGTACTTGACTACACTTATTCATTAAACATTTTACATGGGATGATTATAAATTGGTCCTCATATTTCCAATTAGCCATATGTGCCAAGCACCTAGGTTATGAAGTATAGATTTTGCTGTCTAAATTGCCTAGTGCTATGCATTTAGCGTAATTGAAACTTTCTTCATGGTATGATTTTTGTGTTGAACAGTATAACCGTATTTATTCTCCTATATCATTTGGAAAGAAATACGATCCAAAGGGTAATTATATTAGGCATTTTCTCCCCATACTGAAAGGTACACCAATGTTCAACTTCAACCCTCTTCAAAGTTCAATCATTATATTTTGGCATGCTTTGCTCGTATCTAACATAAGAGCAAATGTCAATGGTGCTCAGATATGCCAGACGAGTACATATATGAGCCATGGACTGCTCCTCTGAGCATTCAAACTAAAGCAAAGTGCATAATAGGAAGAGATTATCCAAAACCGGGTTAGTTGTCTAATGTGTGTTGTCCAAGTGTTTGCTTTGTTTATATTCAGAATCAGCAATTGTCAACCTTGTTTAGTTTGTTGACAGCAGGCCCTATCATGAGTTGATTAATTCACAGTTATATTGCTTGGAGTCTATTTTATTCACACTACAGCTTTAAAAAGGCTACTTACGTTGCACTCTTTTGCTTGATCATAGTGTTTCTGCTTATTTATTTGTCCATGGATTGATGTTTCAAGACTAATGTTTATTTCTTTCACATTAATGTTTCATTGCCTTGTTCTGCGAAACAGAAGGCGAGGAACATGCCCTTTTGTTATGTTTCCCTTTTCCTGTAAATATTTTAATAATTGTTTCTAATTAGTAATTACTGACTGGAGTATGGTAATTAGCATGATTTTTCATTTCTTACAGCATGGCACTTTTTGTGCTTGACTCTGCATATTATATGTATCAATTCATTTCTTTTCTTTTCTTTCTTGCATTTTGTTTCAGTGGTTCCTCATGATCTTGCAAGCAAGGAGTGTAGAAGGAAGATGGGAGAAGCTTATGCGCTGAACCAGAAATTGAACAGGCTTGTGAGTGAAGAAGACTTGAGAAATTTGAGAAGAAAACTAGAGGAAGATGAAGACCAGGAATCCAACCCTATAAGAAGCCAAAGACAAAAGCTGAATGGCTGAGTAAGGAATGTCCTAGGCACTTATCCTAACTCAGATTTTAGATTGTTAATTGTTAAAGCCATTTAGATGTGGCTGACATGGACATTTCAAACTTTTGAACATTGTCACAGGCAATGCATCTTGCATGGCAATGGCAATGCCATGTTTGCAATAGTTGTGGCTGTGATAGCCATATTAATTCGTTTGATTTGAGGAACGTGTATTAATTTTCTAGGATGATTTTGCTTCTTCAAATGAAAATCAGTTTACTTTTTCTATCAATGAAAGTAAATCAATTTGAATTTTAAAGGACAAATTTCATTACCACGCAGAAATGGTAATGCTAGCTGCACAAAATTCTCTTATGTAAAAATGATGCATAACCACTCCTGAAAAAAAAGAAAAAAAAGAAAGGCATTTTACTATCTTAAATCATCTATTTAAAAATTTTACTTCAAATTCAATTGCTGAGGTTGGTAATTGTCATTACTCCATTTTATATCTTATGATGTGGCATCCTTCAAATCAGAAGAAGGAAAAAGATATGGATGAATCTGAAAAGTGAGTCAAAAGCTAGGTCTTTAGGAAAGAAATATGGAAAGGGCAGGTCTCACTCCACGGCTTTTCCACTGACATGGCAAGTCCTTAGTTGCGAATCCAAAATTTGATATAATTGCCAATGCTATATGGTGTTGTATTGTAAACTTATACAGTGTAGTTATGTAATAATATTTATTTAACCATCAGAGCATCAGTTCAAGATTTAATTTTTAATTTTTGTATATGAAAAATAATATTTATTTTAAAACACATTTATGATATTTTGTGTATTTATTTATTTAATAATATTTTATATACAAATATTATACAAATATTATTA